CTAGTTTAAGTTGAGGAAGCTAAGGTTCTAGACAGGGCAACTCTAGACAATGGCAAAACTGACATTCAAACTCCAAACTCCTCTGACTCAACTTTGTGTTCTTTCTAAACCCTGATGCCTCCTTAGGGAGGACATACCGATCAGCAGCATCGAAAGTTTGGTTCTTGCCAAGTTTAACTTGATCATGTATCACACCATCTACCCTCCTTCTTCAAGGAGCTCTGTGGTGCAACGGTTAAATGCTAGCTCGGATGCTCACCAAAAGGTTGGCGGTTTGGACCCACCCAGCAGCTCCACAGGAGAAGGACCTAGTGATCTGCTCTCCTAAAGATTACAACCAAGAAAACCCTACGGGGCAATTCTACTCTGTCACATGGGGCCTCTAGGAGTCAAAATAGACTCGCCTAGGCAACTAACAACAACGACATCCTCCTTCTTCAGCAGTGGAGAAGCAGCTTGCAAGCTGACTCCAATAGAATATGAGTCAAATAAAGAAGTTTAGAGGGGTAAAGGATTTTTTTTTTTTAAAATTGTGGTAAGTATATATGTAACAAAATATTTGCCAATTCAACATTCTCCACATGTACAATTCAGTGAGATTGTGTTTATCATGTTGTTCAACCATCACTGTTACCCATTTCCAAAATTTTCCATCACCCTTAACAGAATCTCAGTGCCCCTTAAGCAATGGGTCCCCTTTTTCCCTTCTCTCCTGTTATGTTGCTTTTAGGTGCTATTGAGTGGGTTCTGACTCATTGCGACCCTATGTATAATAAAACGAAACACTGCCGGGTCCTGTGCCATCCTCACAATCATTGCTATGTTCATGCTCATTGTTGCAGCCATTGTGTCAGTCCATCTCACTGAGGGTCTTCCTCTTCTTCACTGTCCCTCTACTTTACCAAGCGTGATGTCCTTCTCCAGGGACTGGCCCCTCCTAATACATGTCCAAAGTACGTAAGACGAAGTCTCCCATGGCAATCCTTGCTTCTAAGGAGCATTCTGGCTGTACTTCTTCCAAAACAGATTTGTTCATTCTGCTGGCAGTTCATGGAATATTCAATATTCTTCACCAACACCATAATTCAAAGACGTCAGTTCTTCTTCAGTCTTCCTTATTCATTGTCCAGCTTTCAAATGCATGTGAGGCAATTGAAAATATCAGGGCTTGGGTCAGGCGCACCTTAGTCCTCAAAGGGACATCTTTGCTTTTCAACACTTTAAAGAGGTTTTTTTGCAACAGATCTGCCCAGTGCAATACATCGTTTGATTTCTTGGGCATTGACTGAGAATCCAAATAAAATGAAATCCTTGACAACTCCAACATTTTCTTCATTTATCATGATGTTGCTTATTGGTCCAGTTGTGAAGACTTTTGTTTTCTTTATATTGAGGTGTAATCCATTCTGAAGGCTGTTGTCTTTGATCTTCATCGGTGTTTCAAGTCCTCTTCACATTCAGCAAGCAAGGTTGTGCAATCTGATTGTCACAGGTTGTTAATGAGTTTTCCTCCAATCCTAATACCCTGTTCTTCTTCATAGAGTCCAGTTTCTCAGATTATTTGCTCAGCCTACACATTGAAGAAATATGGTGAAAGGATACAACCCTGACGCACACATTTCCTGATTTTAAACCACACAGCATTCCCTTATTCTGTTCCAACAACTGCCTCTTGGTCTATGTACAGGTTCCTTGTGAACACAGTTAAGTGTTCTTGGTCTCTATACACTTGCCTATTCTAGAGATTTCATCTAAGGGGTACAGGCTTCTCTGTATGCAATCAAAGAAGGCTTGTGATGACCTTTGCACTTGGGTGGGATGTTGTAGTCGCTGTATGCGGTCTACAGTCTGAGCAGCGTGCAAACCCCTGTCAGAGAGGACGGATGGGGCCGAAGCTGGTCTGTTCTCACCTTAGGTCTCCCAGCTGTGAGAAAGCCCCCAGGAAGCTTGGAGGGCCTCGAGGTGAGAAGGGGTACTTTTGTAATTCTCCTACTAGAGGTGACACATTTTTATAATCTGTCCCAAGGCATGGCTGGCCCCATGTAAAGGTTTGCTGTGTGTGTTTACCTGCCTGTACTTAATTCACAAGTCTTACAAGGGCCTTTTTCTCAGACAAGGCAGAGGGCATCAAAGAACTGATTCCAAACCACCACAAGTACCACTACAAAAACCAGTTGCCGTCAAGTTGACTCCAACTCATGGTGACCTCATGTGTGTCAGGGTAGAACTGTGCTCCATAAGGTTTTCAATGACATGGCTGATTTTTCAAAAGTAGATCACCAGGCCTTTCTTCTGAGGCACCTCTGGTGGACTTGAACTTCCAGACTTTCACTTAGCAGCCAAGTACGTTAACTTTTGCCACCCAGGGACTCTACCAGTAGCACTACCATTGCCACATTTAGAAAATGACCCTTTTAGCTGGGGAAAGAGAGGAAAATGGAAGCAATTCATCATAGTTAGACATGAGACGGTGGGAGAGAACTCTGTGGAGTTTTGAGATACAAGAAGAGGGAAGAATGATGCCAAGCTTCTCTGGGCTGAAGCTCTCAGACATCTCAGAGATCGGTGGAAATTGAATGGAAATGGCAGCATTATGCCAACTGGGAAGACCCCTTTAGTATCCCTAGTCAGGCTGGTGAGTTTAGATATCTGAAAGTTCCCAATGGGGCATGAGAGTTAACTGAAGGAGGGAGAGGTAGAGGAGAAGTAGGGGTTTGTGATCCTTAAGGTTATGTGTTCACTTGGCTGGGCCATGATTCTCAGTGGTTTGGCAGTTGTGATGAAGTTTGGCAGTTGTACAATGATGTAATCACATTCACGATGAGAGCTAATATAAGACAGGGTTCCATGGCCTGATGAGAAGACTCGGCAGATGTGGGATGCATGACACTGCCAGGCTGGGCCGATCCAGAGCACAGCTATGTCTTGGCAAACTGCGTCAAGGTGTTGAGGGGCACCTCCACAAGCAGGGGGAGCAGTTATAATTGCAAGTAGGAGGTAAAGATGGACCAAGGATATCCAAGATTGAGAATTTAATACCTTTTTCTCCATCAATCTACAATAAGTCGCTCTTGCATAAGATCCCTCCGGAGTTTAGAATAAACCCTTTTGGTGGAAGAAAAAGCAACCAACCAACCCTGAAGGTAATGGAATTTTAAACGTGAAATGACTGAGAAATCATGAGGTTCACATGAGTTTATCTGAAAGGGGTGAGATGCAGTCTTCTGAATGGGGGCCTGAGGCAGGCATTGCAGGGGATGGAAATTTCAGTCTGTGATGTGAAATCAACAGCCCCCACCCCTGCCCTGCCCTCCCCCGCTACACAGTTGCACTAAAATGAATTGAGGGCTGCGAGAAGGTTGTTCCAGCTTGACAAGGCTTTAGAACAGATGAAGTTGGAGGCTTTCAGGTGGAAGGAATGCCAAGAATAGAGGTCCCGAGCCATGAATCAGCAAGTTGTGGTATGCTAGCACTGAATGAAATAAAAAAAAATCATTTGCTGATGAGTCACTGAGGGTCAGAGGGTGCTTTGGGAGTCTTGCAGTCTTTCTCTCCAGGAGGGAACTGTGCCTCTTTTTTATCCACTGCTTTCAGTGAGAGCCTCAAAGACTAGTGATACAGCTCCATCATTGATGCCACGATCCTTGCTAGGAGGGGCTGGGTTGAACCGGAACTCACCAAACCCAACTATAGCTGGAATCTCTACTCCTTCCCCATCTGCTTCACCTCAGTGCTGAACCTGGGTGCCCCAAGCTAACTTCTTCCCTTCCTCCCTCCCTTCTTTTCTCTTTTCCTTGTTCCTTTTCTCCCTCCATATCTCCCTCTTTCTCTTGTGGAGATCTCCTCCTCTCTTCCCCTCCAGTTATAAGTTGCTGTTAAGTAGACTGATTCATGGAGACCTCTTGTGTATCACAGGAGCACAGTGCTCCTTAGGGCTTTCAATGGCTGATTCTTCAGAAATAGATTGCCAGGCCTTTCTTCCAAGGTACTTCTGGGTGAAATTGAATCTCCAGCTTTTGGGATAGCAACTAAGTGCTTGCATCATCCAGGGTCTCCTCTCTTGCCCTCGGGGGCCTCCTTATCTCTTCCTCGTTATGAGGTTCATTTAAGCTCTCTCAATGCATTTGAGCATGTGAAACCCAATTAGGTCGAGAATTCAAGTTTCTTCTACATCTTTTATGGGTTCCATCCACATCTGAGGATGGGACTGAGCAACCAGTTGACTGTCGCTGACCCTCAGGGGAGATGGTCCAGAATACACAAAGGGTCTGCTTGTGAAGGGAGGGGGCTCAAGTTCACTCACTCAGCTATGGCTAAGCCAGTGTAACCTACCACACTGTTACTGTTAGGTGCTCTGGAGTGGATGTTGACTCACAGCAACCCCATGTGACAGAGCAGAACTGCCCCATAGGGCTTTCAATGGCTGTTTTTTGGAAGTACATTGTTAGGCCTTTCTTTCCAGGCATCTCTGGGAGGAATCAAACCTCCAACCTTTTGCTTAGCAGCATTAACCGTTTGCACCACTAAGGGACTTTGTGTAGGCTATGACATTGAGGTTTCTTTTCATTTATGGGGTCAGGGACAGGGCAGGGGGAGGGGACAGGAATGGTAACTGGAAACGGGTTTTTTCCGCCCACCTCTCTTCTGTGGAGGCACAGTGGGCTAGAGTGCAGGTGGTCCAGGCAGTGACCGCAGGGGGTCCCCTTATGAGGTCAGCCTTAGTGAGGACACAAGCGGCCCCGCCCTGCCCACCCAAGGCACCGTGGGTGGAAGCAGCCTTAGAGGAGTGAGCACTCCTCTCTCGGTGCCCTGGGGTCTCTGGCCACCCCCGCGACCCCTGCTAGCCCACGGAGCCGGCAGCTGCTGCGCCAGCACAGCGCACTCACTGCCCGCGTCCTGGAGCCCCCGCGCGTCCCCGGCCGTCCGCGCCCCCGGCTGCGCGTCCTGACCTCCAGCTCCGCACCCCGCGCCACGGGCACGCGCGGCCCCCGCGCATGCGCACCCGCACCCTGCCGCTGTTGGGCAGTTTCCATGGCTACGAAGCCGCTGGGCGAGGTGTCCGAGAGCGAGAAAATGAAGCTGAAGAGTCTCCTGCTTCGTTATTACCCGCCAGGTACGCAGTCCCCTCCGCCTCCACCTCAGGCCCTGGACGCTGCGCCTGCGGGCGTAGGGGAGCGCGGGGACCCCGTGGTGCGACGGAGACCCCAAGTGGGTTGACACACGTGGTACTTGGGCACCTCCCTTCTTCGGATGCTGGACTCTGAGCCCCAAAACTTTTAAAATGATTCTTTCAGGAGGCTTTAAACTTTTACATTGCTGAGTGGTAATGCGTTCTGGTTACTTAGGAGTGAGAGGGGTGGCGAGGGAGTGGTGGTGATTGATGATGTCCTGGAGATTAGTTTCTGGAAGGGACGACGGCGCCAAGGTCCGCCATTGCTTTTTATTTAAAACACACTAGAAAGACCAAGTCACGGTGTGTCGAGTATGAGAAGAAATATACATATGCAACAAAGCCTATGACATTAGTGATTGCGTTCCAGACTGTACTGTACAGTTTTTAAAACCCCATGGCACGAAGCACAAAATATTGTATGCAGTAGGTCCTCAATAGATGCGCCCGTGGATTGTGCTCCGTGCCAAAGTTCCGTCATCCTTGATTCCAGTAAGTTAACAACTTACGACATAAACTCAGAGTGCTATAGTTTTAGTAGGATATCTTTGCCTAGTCCTCTGTTTTATAGATGAGAACAGTTTGGAGAATAAGTGTGCTCTTCTGGTGTCTTAGTCATCTAGTGCTGCTATAAGAGAAATACCACAGGTGGATGGCTTTAACAAAGAGAAATTCATTTCTTCACAGTAAAGTAGGCTAAAATTCCAAATTGAGAGCATCAGCTCCAGGGGAAGGCTTTCTTTCTCTGTCAGCCTTCTCATCAGCCTTCTCCCAGACTAGGAGCTTCTCTGTGCTGGGACTGGGATCCAAAGGACTTCCTCTGCTCTCGGCACTGATTTCTTGGTGGCATGAGGTCCCCAATCTCTGTTTGATTCCCTTTTATCTCTTGTGGTACAGGCCACACCCTAGGGAAACTCCCTTTACATTGGATCAGGCATGTGACCTTAGTAAGGGTGTTACAATCCCATCCGAATCCTCTTTAATATAAAACTATATTCACAAGATGGAGGACAACCACACAATACTGGGAATCATGCTCTAGCCAAATTGATACAAACATTGTTTGGCGGACATAATTCAATCCCTGACAACTGGCCACCTAGCTGGCTAGTAATAGAAATAGTAATAGAACTCTTGGCTTCTAATTCAGATCTCACATTAAAAATAAGAGGAATATAAAACAAAGAGTCTACAAAACTTGCCACCTAGGAGTAGATAACCAAATACGCTTGCCCAATGAAGAGTTTGGACACAAAGTATCCTAACATTGCAAAGGAAGATGAGATCATTTTGGACGAGTTTGATTTAAGATAACTTTATGAGCGGGGTGGGACTTGAAGAATTTAATGTTGTATGTCTCACAGTTCCTAGCAATGCATCCAGCTGCTTAGCCAACATCTCCACCAAGAAGTCTGGCAGACACAGAGATCATGATTCCTTTCTCCACTCCCATCCTAATCCTGTTCTTTCTCAGATTCTGTCCTGTTAGTAGATGGCATCACTGTCCGTCCAATTTTTCTGGTGGACATCTCCGTCATCCTTGATTTCTCTCTCATGATCATTCACCACCCCTCTGCCCTCTCCTCTATCCAATCCATCAAATTCTCTGGGCTCTACTTCCAAAGTATACTGTGAATCCACCAAATTTTCTCCATTTCCAAGGCACTTGTTTCTACGTCCAACTTTCCCTTTGGATTCCACCACCCTAGTCCAAAATTCCATCACAGATATCACTGTCTCTTTCTGGGCTACTTCAGTGGCTTCTCAGCTGGATTCCCTGTTTTCCTCATCATCCTACCATCTGTGTGTCACTAACATCCAGCAGGATCTGGATTAAACACCTCCAGTAGTTTCCCATCATCTTAGAATAAAATCCACACTCTGGAGGGTTTGACACAGCCTACTCTGCTACTTCTAGAACCTCATTCGTCTACTCTCATTACACCTCAGATTTCTATTCTTTCAAGACTTAGTTGCAGTTGCTATAGAGTTGATTGCTACTCATGGCAATCCCATGTGTGTCAGAAAAGAACTGTGTTCCACAGAGTTTTCAATGGCTGACTTTTTAGAAGTAGTTCACCTGACCTTTCTTCCGAGTTGCCTCTGGGTGGACTCGAACCTCCAAGCTTTTGTTTAGCAGCGAGGGCATTAACCATTTGCACCACCCAGGGACTCCTTCACGACTTAAGAGAGGGCTTTTACTCATTGTTTTCTTTCCAGCTCTAGCTTCCCCTAGACCTTGGAAAGTTTGGCTCCTGTTCTTTGTTTGGTCTCAGTCAATGTCACCTATCAGATGTTCCTTTACCACCTATCTTAGTCATCTAGTGCTGCTATAATAGAAATACCACAAGGGGATGGCTTTAACAAACAGAAGTTTATTTTTTCATAGTCTAGGGGGCTAGAAGTCCTAATTCAGGGTGCCAGCTCCAGGGGAAGGCTTTCTTTCTCTGTCAGCTCTGGAGGAAGGTCCTTGTCATTAATCTTCCCCTGGTCCAGAAGCTTCTCAGCCTAGGTACCCTGAGTCCAGAGGATGCGCTCTGCTCCTGGCACTACTTTCTTGGTGGTATGAGGTCCCCTGTCTCTCTGCTTGCTTTCTCTTTTATAGCTCAAAAGAGATTGACACAAAATACAACCTATTCCTGTAGATTTCATCCTGCCTCATTAACATAACTGCCTCTAAATCTCTAAATCCTGCCTCATTAACATCATAGAGGTAGGATTTACAACACATAGGAATGTCACATCAGATGACAAAGTGATGGACAACCACACAATACTGGGAATCATGGCCTAGCCAAATGGACACACATTTTGGGAGGACACAATTCAATCTGTAACACCACCCATTCTAAAGTAGCCCCTGCCCCTCACTGATTTTACTGTATGCCATTTTGTTTTATTGTTTGTATTATACTTACCATCATTGGAAACTGTATTTGTTGTCTGCATTTTAAATGCCTGCCTCTTTCCCATAGGATGTAAGCAACTCGGAACTGTAACTATATCTCTCATGTTCACAGCTGCATCCTTAGCTCCTAGAAGAGATCCTGGGACATAAGAGGCTGTCAGTGTTTGTGGGGGTGAATTCATGAATAAATGAGTGTGTATGATTAAGGAAGTCAGTCCAGGCATAGAGATTATTGTGAATATACATTTAACACCTCAAGGGATGCTGCTTCTACCTCCCCCAGGAGTGGGCTTGGACAGCAGCTTTCTCCAGTGTGAAGTTCACGTTTGTAGTAAGACACTCATTTTCTCCCTAAAAGAATTCCAATTCAAGACTCTGTATATGAGAAGTGGTATATGGTAAACTTAAAATGACGATTAATAGCCTGCTCTCCGTAATTTTATTTATGCTGTAATTGGACTTAGACCAGTGCTAGTTCCTATGAGTATTCAGCTGGATAAATGAATGTCTTACCTTTATCCCTTTGTTGTGGAGTATGGGTTAAGAACGTGGGCTCTGGGGTCAGAATAACTGTACTTTCACCACGTGAACATTTTACAACATGGGCAACTTATTTTGACTTGTCAAATTGTCGGCCAGATGGTCATAGTAATATTACCCACCTCAGAGATCTAAGGAGCACTGGTGGTGCAATGGTTAAGTGCTCAGCTGCTAGCTGAAAGGTGGGCAGTTTGAACCCACAGGAGAAAAGACCTGGTAATCTGTTCCTGTAAAGATTGCAGTCCAGGATACCCTTCGGGGCAGTTCTACTCTGTCCTATAGGATTGCGACGAGTCAAAATCGACTTGACAGCACACCACTACAACAACAGAGGTCTATGGATCCCTTCCAGCTACTATCTCATTTGTCTCATTCTCTTCAAACCTGGTTGAAAGAGTGTTATCCCCAATTTCTCTCCTCCCTTTCCTCTTGAACCCATCCTGATTAGTCCACAGAAGCTGCCCTTTTCAAGATCCCAATGACCTCCATACCCCTAAATCTGTTGGCCATGTCTCGGTCCTGGTCTCTCCTGACTGACAGCAGCCTTCAACCCATTCCAACACCCCGTCTTTCTTTGGCTTCCAGGGCACACACTCTGTTTTGACTCCTGGTCACATTATCACAGTCTATCTTGTTGGTTCCTCCTCTTTCTGATCTCTTAATGTTGGAGTGCCCCAGGGCTCTGTCCTTAGATTTTTCTCTTTTCTATTTACATTCATTTGCTAGACCATCTCTCCATCCTTGAGGCTTTAAATACTGTCCAGTGAAGCAAAGATATATGTTTCTAGCTCAGACGTCCCCCCGGGAACTTTAGCCCCAAGGACCTAACTGCCTGCGCCCCATCTCCCTCTGGATGTCCAAGCACATCTCACATGGGGTCCCCCAGTCTCTCCCATCTCAGTTAACGGCAGCGCCAATTTCCATTAACTCATGCCAAAACCTTAGACTTACCTTGTCTCCTTCCTCTCTTATTTTTCACATTCTGCATCTGGTCCAATAACAATTCCTGTCAGTTCTACCTTCAAAATAAATACAGAATTCGATAACTTCTCCTCACCCCAACTGCTATCAGTCTCTCTCTTTTGCTGAGATTATTGCTAGAGCTTTCGCCCGTGCCGCATGTCATTCTGTTTTCAACCCAGCAGCGGGGGTAACTCTGTTAGAAGGTAATTCTGGTTGTGTCACCTCTCTGCTCAAGCACTCCCATGCCTTTCTGTCTCACTTAAAGTAAAAGGCCCAGAATCTCCAAGACCCTATAGGATCTCTCTGAGTTTGCCAGTTTCTACTTTCCCCTCCAGCAACACTACTCCCTGTACTATTCCTTGGACAGGCCAGGTGTACCCTCACGTGGGGTCTCTGAAGTTGCCATTCTCTTTGTCTGGAACAATCTTCCCCTGGACATACGCATGGCTAGTGCCTTCAAAAATTTTAGATTTTTTCCTCAGAAGTTAGTAAAGTGAAGCCTTATCTGACAACTCTTCCAAGAATTTCCACT